GGCCCAAAGTTAAAAACTGTTGTTCTTTTGAGGCCCTCAAGGTGGCGCTCATGGCCCACAGGTTAAGAATCTCTGATTTAAATCATTTATTAGGAAAGATGTTCATAGTAAATCCAACTTCTTCATAAATGACCTTGAAAAAAACTAAACACATGTAAATAATTTCTACACTGGAGCTTGGAACTGCGGGTCAGAAATTGAGCTGGAACTCTTTTTACGCAAGAGATGGTGAGTAAAGCAAACGAATTAAGTAATGTCCTCTAACACATTGGTGACAAAGGTCAACCTTGGCGGAGTCCAACTTTTTACGTTTACACACTTTTAAACATCTTTTCTATAATTTTAGTGTTTTCATCTGAGGGGCTTTGCTGTATTCATTTAAAATAAATTATAGCAGAGGAAGTTCTCCGCACAGAAAATAAATAATTTAGTTTTACCATTTTTTTAACCAAACTGACAAGTTTCTCCAGTAAAATTATTGTGTAATTTAAAGGCAATGGAACACCTGGTTAAATTTAGAAGATATTATGATTAACTACAAACATCTGAAGCTGACTCAGAGAACTCTGTGATTTTAGAAAAAATAAAAGTCAAATGTAGACATGTCTTTAAGAGACCCTCCTCCTCCTCCTCCCCACCCCGCGCAGCTGCGGTCAGCGAAGCTCCACCACACCCGTGTGATTAATACTGATTTTTTTTTTTTGCGCAAATTACACATTTTTGAAGCTCATTAAACACGTCTGAAGTATGAACTTTAAGTCTCGGGCTGGTTGGAGCTGCGCTGCAGGTGGACAGGTTCAGCTGCTGTAAAGTCGCTGCCCCTCGCTTTAAAAACAGTCAGCTGATCCGTCGCGGTTTTGTTGCGCTCGTGACGTGAACACACGGGGAAATGCTGCAAAGTGCTTTTAGAAATATAATTTAAATAAAATACGACGTAATCCTCGGTGGAAAATAGTCCAGGAAACGCGGGGGGTGTTCACCTGCAGCTGCAAGAAGCTGACACCCCACCCACAGAGAAAAAAAAGGCAGTAATTATTGATAAGGTAACCATGCTGTGGCTCACCTGTCGTATTTTCTTTTAAAGAAAGAAAAAGTAGCTTGCAAAGCTGTCGCATCGGTGCTATGTGATTAAAAGCAGAGTTTTCATTGCCGTCTAATCACACACACGTCTTCCTATCTTTGTGAGGACCACACACAGCGCTCAGCCTCGTTCTGCACCGTCTTTTCCCCCAAGTTTGGCGAGAGGTGGATATGCAGGGACGCCAAAAATAGCTCTCGACTTGATCTGGACTTATTTAAATAAAAAATGACTACATGCCGTGAAATTCTTAGAGGGGCGGGCCGTCTCGTTGGCAGGGGGCCCGCCCCACCTGTATGTTGGTAGGGGGAAACACTGACTGTGGTTTATTAAGGTCATGTAGCAACGTCCAGAACCAGAACACCTAAACTGGACTCAGACTTGTGTTTACAGACCCACAGTTCGAATTTACTGAGCCTCATTTTGACAGGAAACCCACACACTCTCTTTTGCAATCATCACACCAGTTTTATGATGGTTTTATGATGTTCTGTGTTTGCAGCGTGCCTTGGCTCAGTCCAGTTTGCTGTGCAGTTCTGGAAGCAGAGGGCTCCATGCAACTGCAGTTTACTGCAAGGTAATTATTAACACGTCTCCTAATTTAAGGTTATCAATCATAAATTAGTTTTGTCTCATTTTAATGAGGTATACGATGCCGGCTTTGAGTTCTCAGTTGAATTTATTTCACCAGTATTTGTTCTTTTTTCTCTTGTCTTGCAGAATCAAGCTGCTCGTATTCGAGTGGGCAAAGGTAACAAGCCGCTGACTTACGAACAGGCGTATCATCCTCATCACATCGCCCACTTTAAAGGATGGCTGTCACAACACACCAGTGAGTATCTCAGAAAACTTCACTTCAGCCTGAAAAATGGCTCATATTGTAGGGTCTGATGATACAAATGAAATGTGCAGGAAGTTTTTCACACATTGAAAATGTTGCTGTTATAGTTCACTGCTGGTCTGCCCTCTAGAAGCAGACAGCTTAGTTTTAATTAGACAAGTAGTCTCCATAACAAGGGACCTTCTGTAACACAGAGACATGATTATATAAAATAATACAACAATCAGTGACTACAGAAGAGACGGTATATAATATGTAGCAGATTTATCAGTAATAAATGTAAAAATAGGCTGTAAGGCTACAATTGTTTTTACTGAAAGACTTTAAATTAAAGTTTGTATATATAAACTGTCAGATATAAACTGTCAGTAGGTGTGAACAAAGATCTTAATGGTTCTAAAAATCTTATAAATAATAACTCTACAACAATATTTCAAATTAATCGGGTTAAAGGAGGTTTACATTTAATCTAAAAAAACATCTGAAATGTGCTGCTGGAAGGAGAACGTCAGCATGATGCTGCCTCCACCGTGCTTCACTGTGAGGAGGAGGAGGATGATTATTAGTCACATTGCACTTAACAACTTCAGCTCCACACATCACTTTGAGCACATTTAGCAGAAGTGATTTGCGATGGTGTTACTATTACGCTGGTGCGCCCAGAATCGTGATTACTGTGAAGGAGGCCTCGTTACTTCACATCAGTGCTGTTTGGTGGGAAGTCAAGGCTTTTAAGACTGAAAGAATCTTGTTTTTTTTTTAAATAAAAAACATCTTTGAATCCCCCTCATCTCCTTCTTAGCTTCAGTCTATAACTGCATGAACATTTTCTAAATATAAAGTTTTATCATTCTTAAAAAAACATATTTAGTCC